ATAATAACTAATTTGTGTTAGAAAGTAATAATTTACACAAAAGTGGTGATTTCAAAAATATTACTACACCTTTGTTGTACTTTTAATGTATTTCCACATCACAAATTGTTAGTTTATTTTTCGGGATTGTTAATACCAATTGGTTGCTTAATGATTGTTGTTTTTATAGGTTGCAAAGTTGTTTTGTTAAGAATATCAATTTTTTTTAAATTTAGTAATCTTTTTACATAAAAGAATGTTAAACATGCTGAAACTACAAACAAGACTTAATAGACTTTTTGAGCATACGTCTTGCATATTGTGTTCATTAAAAAGACAAAGTATATAATATGTTTCAAAGGACGCACAGTCTTTCTCTACATTTTGTAAGGCTGACTTTGATGATGTAAAATCCGTCTATCCTTGTTTACTAGTCACTGACAAAAGCAGATAATGAAATGTACATTTATTTCCCCTGGCTTGTAAAGTATTGTGTAGCTGGAGTAATGTTGTACCTAACTACTCAGTAGCATGCAATAGTCTCGCTAATTTGGGACCTTTTACCAACTGGGTTCAATATATCCTTCTTGCAGAATCAACTGCGAAAAGTAAAGGAATAAACCCTAATTTTTTAAATATTTGTAATTTACTTGCATTCAAGGTATTTTTTATAATGATTGATTTGTAGGTAATGTTTGCTTTTAATTAATAAAGGTAATGTAAACAATGTTCAAGATAGTGTTTGTTTAAAGTGTAGGGGGAGGAATAATTTGAATTATTACGTTTGTAGATTTTTCTAATTGCGAAGAACCTTCAGGTGTAAAATAAGTTAAATAATGATTCTAGACTAGGTTAACTATCAGCAGCAATAATTAATTGTTGAATACCCTCAACACAGCAAACCGGTAGAATAAGAAAATTTCCACTTAAATATATCCTTTAAAATATCGGACTTTTTAATCCTTTGGAAACTCGGACTAGAATATAAACCTCAAGTTCTAGGTGGACATCTCAATTCTTGGAAACCCTTTCTATGCACTCAATCTATATGTCCACGAAATCAGAAATGGAATGCATAATGGACACGTCGATTAGTTGTTTTAGCGAATTTCCCACATAGGGAATAACCTATTACTGTAGTACTCATGGTGTGACCTGGACCCGGGACCGATTTACTTTTCCCTTTTGAGGTCCCTAGAGGCCAAAAACGCCATACGTTCAAATTCATATATATATTTTTTATATGTGAGTCCGTTAGCACGATAACTCGAACAAAAATGGTCAGATTTTTATGAAATTTGGTATAAACGTGTAATGTGTAAACCTACATTTATTCAAACGAGCTCGCGAACCAGCATGATCGGACTATGGGAACGGGGGTTTATGGGGGTTTTATGGGGTATTGTTTTTTGCCATTTATGTGCATAAAAACATACAATTTTGCAATTTATTTCCAAACCATTTTGTAGAGCTTAAAAAACAAACAATTTTGTATATTGAACCGTTGTTATGCGCTTAATGCTTACAGAAAAATTCCATAGAAATTCATAGAAACAGCTGATAATTGTTTTAAAACTTTTATAAAGTATTTTTTTCAGGTATACCGAATGATTTGAACTACTTACTATATAAAATTTACTTAGAGCAGTGATATTCCCCGATACTTTCCATTGAAAAATGCAGTGTACGGATGGTACACTGGTACAGCAGCTCGTCATTTTTAACAGTTTAATACTACTTATCAAAACATATGAAACCTAGGAACTTGAAACGTAGTACTAGTACTAAGGTTTGTTTTATGTTTCGATACATTAAAACAAATAAAACAATCGGGAAAACCACTCTACGCATGTTAAACAAGCAATTAAAATGTTATACAGTATGTAAATTTAGGATGAATGAGTTTTTCAATATTTGTTTTGCCTTATGCTATTTCTAACAAACCTAATCTGTTTGATTACATTTTTACTTATATAATAAGGGCTCAATTTACACTAGTCTTTAGATATACGGGTTTAACTATCAGAACACTTATGTAACACCAACGCATTTTATGTTGTTCAAGATGAACATTGATGAATTTACAGCCCAAGACACAGAACCTATATTAGTGGATGATGACTAGATTAATTTAATGCAGTTGCAAAGTGTGTGTTTAGTGTAAAATAAAAAATATTCTTGACAAATACAAAAATAGAAAAACCCGCCCTGTTGACTACACGTTTAACAGTGTTTTCAAAAACTTCAAACGTAGCAATTTGAAACTGAGTTTAAGCCCAGTTTATAGTAATTTATAGTAATTTTGGTACGTGTGTCAAAAGGTTTTTAATCGGTTTAAAGCAGATAAGACCAAAAAAGTAAAATCTAGTTCTACACAAACAATATTATTGAAATGAAATGAGATGTAGTTGTGCCGTGGTCTATATATTTCACCCAAACTGTTTATAATAATTTTTAATTTAACTAAATGGCCCTTTAATTTATTTCAATAAAATGCTTACAATACAAGAGATGGCTTCTTTTATTCTTTATATTGGAAGGATATGCCTTTTAGCGAATTTCCCATATAGGGAATAAGCTATTACCGTAGTACTCATGGTAAGACCTGGACGCGGGACCGATTTTTTTTTCGTTTCGAGGTCCCTAGAGGCCAAAAACACCATCCGTTCAAATTCATATATATATATATTTGTATTGTTTATGAACATATTTTGATCAAATTTGAAATATGTTTTTATTTCTTACTAACTATTAACATTAAAAAAAAACAGTTTTACCTCCCTGATGCAGCAAACCTAAGTACTTGTTCAACTAATTCTATTTAAATCGGGAATAAATGTTATATTTTTAAGTAGACATTTCAGTGTAAATCAAATCAGTCAAATGGAAATTCGCTTAGTCTGCAGGTTTGCTGCGGCGGGGGTATTATATAAATATGATAATCTCCTGCTTCGTGATAATTTCGCAACGATGTCCCGCGATCGTGGTGACATCGTGAATTTTCGATCTCGGATTCCTGCATGTTTGCGGACATTTTACGGGAACGGACGCGCAACCCCGCTCCGCTCCGATGCGCCTCGCGTCGTGGGGCAGGGTATGCCCGTGGTGGTACGCACCAGAGTGGCGCGGAGCGGGGTTGCGCGTCCGTTCCCGTAAAATGTCGGTTAACATCAAATGGGCGGGTTGGAGCGAGTACCACCCTGCGCTAGTCTTATTTATTTATACATGTTTCATAACAGTTGTTGAAAGAAATTAAATATACATTATCATCATTATCAATTAATAATATTTGAGAGGCATTTTAAGAGTGAACCTTATTGTTTTTAATGTTTTACTTTCATAAAAGTAACAGTTATAACATGTAAAGTAAAGTAACCTGATGTCTAATAACCTTCATACTTACAATATTTACCTATATTTCATTTTTATGGTCTTCAATTAACCCAGTGCAAACTTCATCGATACATCGATGTCTGATTGTACATCGATAATACAGATTGTCTGAACAAAAATGACGGACTCATGCCTGAAAACAGCATGGTGATTTCCCAAACATCTTGGTCTTGAAAATCATCATTTGAAGCAAAAAAACACGTTTATCACTGTTAAATAAAAAAATTTATATTTTCTCGATTTTCAGGTCAGGTGTTAGCAGACCCTTACAGGGAAGAAAACGTTTCGAAATTGTTCAGAATCAAAACTCTTCCTGCACCCCACCATAGGAAACACGTCAGTTAGGAGTGTAAATATATTTTATCATCTATCAAACATTTAAACTACTTTAATCCAAGCATTAGAAACATTATCGTCACTAATTGCTTCAGATAAGGAATCAAAGACTTTTTCATTGGATCGTCCAAGTTATTGCATTGACTAGTATCAAATAACTTCAAATAGCTTCGGCGGGAAAAAACTGAGGAATAGATCTAGAAGTTTTTGCTTTATATATAAGTAGTACGTAGTATATATACCTACGTAGTATATGGAGAAAGTATTGTTTTCGTCAACATTTTTGAGTTCGAGTTCTAGGTGGAAATATTCGTGTTTGGGCCCCTGCGCTAAAACAATTGGTTTTCGAAATGATGTCTGTGTGTGTGTGTGGATATCTAATGAGCTGCAGTCTTTATATTTAGACGAAATTGGTTCTTTGCCTGGTAGTTCTTCTATTATATTAAATTTGAATTTTCAATGGTGATTTAACCATAAAAACTCACAAAATAACGGAAAAACATGATTTTTACAAAAAGGGCTCGACCAATTTTGATTAAAATGTAGTATGTCAAAGTCCTTTTAACTGCAAACAACGTGGTATACCTCTCAATGCTGTAAAAAATATCAATCGTAAGCAATTGATGTTTTTGTGATTTCACCCATATTACCATTACTCCTCACTGCATAACAACTTTAAGGGTTTTGATTAGCTAATAGGGGAAAGTATGTGTCAGTTTGCTGGTCCCATTTTTAAGTTTTATTTGTTCCCAGATTTTGTATTTTTTAAATCAATTTACTTTTGGAAAAAACCTGCTAACAAGTTGTATTAGGTGAAAAAATACTTATCATTTAAATTTTTAGTTGTATATGGTCCATTTAATCTAGTATACTGTGTAATTTAACGGTAACAATAAGACACAATAATAAGAAGAGCAGACGACAGATTGTACATAAAGACATATAGGGACGAATACTTAAGTCTAATTTATTTCCCCTTAAGCCTTTGTGAAATTAATTAAAACATTCTATGACTATGTACTTCAGACCCCATATTTTGTATCCTGACATTGAATAGTTCATGGAGTTATAACAGAAATTCTATGGATCAAACATATACAAAATGACGTCACCGTCCAAAATAACCGAATCAGCTGATTTTAACGGGGGTTTGGACAGTATTTAAAAATGATTACAAACCTATTTATTTTCGGACCAGTGACGAAATTTATGTGTATGACCTACCGTTTCTGTTTCAATATCCGTGTTTTAGTACAGTAGGTATTTATACACATCAATCGGTTGTCGGTGCGCTTGCGCCAAACGTCCTACTGCAGCTACGGCATTGTTGTCTGTTGTCTCAGTCAGCTCACTCACTCGTTCTAGGTAAGTTCGTGTTTCCTGTTTTCTGTTTAAGTGCTTGCATGCCTAGGATAAATCAATGTATAGTGTGTAAAACATAAACAATGTAATTAGTTAATTTATTTGTGTGAATTCAAATAGTAAAATATTTCTTAAATGTTTCAAGATTATAAATTACGAGTAAATGAGAATATTTCGAAATATCATTCTGTTATTTATTTACGAGAGCTCACCCCGTGGTTGAAAACTCGACCAAAAGTATATATTGTACGAACTTCTCAATTTTCACCCCACGCTGTAAATAAAACATGTGATTGGAATATCTTCCATTTGTTTTGATTTACTGTTTATATTTTGTATGTTACTTCGCTACCAACATGGCAACCCATAAGACCCATATAAATTTTTTTAACTTAAATTCATTTTTGTGCTTATTTTTGAGCCTATTTTAATTTATAAAGGGATTCTGTACATCTACAGGAAAATATCTTTCATTAGGTACAAACTGCGTGTAATTCGGTCCAGTAGTATGGCCAGGCTAGCTGCCATAAGTTTTGCAAAAGTTTTTTTAGTATATATAGTGAGGTTGCTTAGGGTTTTACTTTAAGAATACTGTTACCTGGCGGATAACAGCACAAAATTTGGCATGTAGGTACTTTTAGGGTATACTAATAAATTTTAGCCTAGGAGCCCGCTTGAAGTCTTAAACTATTCCATGCACGGCACAAAAAACCAAAATAGCCGACAAATACGTTCAAAAATCACTTGTGAATATATATTTACGAGAGAACACCACTACAAATAACAAAAATGCACCAGATTATTGTGATGTTGTGTTGATGAAATAGTTTAACCGTATTAGATTTTAATATTTCTACCGGATACACAGGCATAAGGTAACGTTATAACTATAAATAGCGGTTTTTCATTTTTGACACGCAGTTAATGTTGCGTTCTATTGTTGTAGTTTGTTGGTGTTATATGTTATGTTTTGCGGTATAATGTGATTACCACCATATTCAGCTAATATTGTTGATTTGTATATTTAGTCTTCTATTTTATATGACATTGTAGATAAAATGATATTACATAATTCATTTAACATTGTAGTTCATATCTTGCAACAAAACGGTTCAATATCCATCATAAAAGGTAAGATTGCAATCCGTATTCACCGTTTGTTCGTATTATTTGTTTCTATTAAGAAAATTGCGTGCCATCCAAACATAATTAAAGAAAAGTCAGTTAATTTATCTTTGAATAATCGGTTTTGTAGTCCCAAAAGCACATAATCCTAATCTTTCAGCAAAATCCTTCCTCTGGATTTTAAGATAAATTTTGCAAACAAACAGGCTTTGCTCGTATTAGAGTATAGGATACTATTCTTTACAGGGTGTCCTGTTTCACTATGGCAATTTTTACTAGGTTATTCGGGAGTCCAAAGCAAGCAATAAATGTAATATAACAAGTTTAGTGTCCTATCTCAACCCGTTTTCCGTTTATCTCTCTGTGTGTGTTTTTTTACTTAATAGCCTACGTTATATCTTAGCAACCTTTAAAGATATAAACTTAAAACTCGGTACATGTATTACATCCAATATCACCCATCTTTGTATGGAATATCAAGTTTCTACTTTATACCATTATAAAATAGTGGCCGTTTGTTTTTCAAGCCTAATATCGCTTAAGCTAGGTTTTCCTAGGCGCGGAAGCGGAGAGCGGAGAGAGGAACGCGGAGAGCGGAATTGAAATTAACATGGCATTCCGCTCCTCTTCTAGGAAAACAGTAACATTAAATTGCCTAAGACAAGTGGAGTCCGCTCTCTGCGTTCCTCTCTCCGCTCGCCGATTCCGCGCCTAGGAAAACCCGGCTTAATGAATATACATATTATATGTACAGGGTGTTTATAAAAAAATGCCGAGATTTTAAACGGTCGTTGCTCGGGTATTATTCAAGATAATTAAATGATTTAAACGTCAAATTGAAGGGAAAGGAACAACGTTTTTCACATACTTTGATACAGTTCGGAATAATATAATAAAACTCAGATTTTTACCAATCTTATATGAGCGTAAAACTGGCTAAGTCTGTACGCTTAGGGTGATCGGTGGGTTTATCTGATGTCTTAATTGAATATTCTTAGGCACAAAGACTCTATCTCTTACAGGTGTTCTTTTAATTTTAGGTATGTTCAACTGAAGACTTCGTCGGGCAATCTTTTTTGGGCTTCTGATGCAGAATTGTTGGATTTCTTCGACTATGTCATCGCTTGTTTTTCTTGTTTAAGTTTATTATCTGTACCGGGTCTGTTCAAGTATTCGTGACTATAACTGGCCCTTAGAGTCGTGAAAAACAGCAATTTTCATTACTGTATTCCCAAGAAAATTATCAGCAGACAATTAGGTTTCAAACGAGATTTCATACCACATATATTTATTTTTCTATGTTTAAATAGTGTGTGACTTAGGTATACACAATAGGCCTATTTTATAGAGTTTATAAAATATTTTATGGTAAAACTGTTTGAAAATATTAAATACGTTATTATTATTAACTTGTGATAACAGTTAACTGCAAAGCACCATTTTACCGATTTTATAGACTGTCAGACGACTTTTATACTTCTGTTGAACCTATTAAGACATCATTACATTGTCAATTAATTATCACTAGTGTCTTCTAGAGACGTATTTTGCTAGACATATTTTTTCTAGAGACATGAGTCGGTTTTTGCTCGGAACGGGAACATGTCACTCGTTAGTACGACAGGCCTGTTCGGTTTTTGTAAATATTTTAAATGTATATTATTGTTCGTATGTGTTACGTGTTTAAACTTCAACGACGCTACTTCAGCCGAGTTTGTGTTTTTGTAGTCTGACGATGGCATTGTAATGCCGAAACGGCCGTAACATAGTTACACCACAAGAATTTGAGCTGCAGTGACGAAGGTAAAGCCTATATGAGCCACTGTACAACCTTCAATAAACATGTTTAAACATACCCCCACAGCGAATCTGCAGACTTAGTGAATTAAAATATATGTCTGTTTGGTTTTCAGTAAAATAGTTCCTTAAACACGACCGATTTACTCATTATTCAAATAATAGATTTAATCACGAATATTAAAACAGAAACTGTATGGATAATAAACATAAACAAATTATGTCCCTTCCAAAAGCAAACATTATTTAACATTAATTAAATGGAACCGTCCAAACCATATGTTTTTGTTATTAGTATAGGATTTGGGCCAGTCACGTCATTTGTTTATGTTTATGATCCATAGCACTTCTGCTATAATATTCATGCTAGCACAAAATTAAACATTGATAAACATCTAATTTATTTGTTATACTTTAAATACTTTAATACTTTTCAATGAAATGGTGACCATACAATTTGGTATGGTTAGGCATTTTAAACCAAGTATGAATGGAGATGAGTGTATGATGAGTGGTGCGATCTTATAGTCTTGTTAGTGACTAAGGCCGACATATTCCTTAGACACAGCTGTTAGTTAATAGCCCATACAGCCAATGGCAACTATGGGACCTACAGTTTATAGTGGAATCCGAACCACATTTTTGCCTTGGTATTAACGAATTGGTCTGATTATCAGGATAGTACTGCGTATAGTCGTAGTACTCACTCGTGCGGACGTTAATCCACACCAGAGGGAGTATCGTATCCGCAGTGCATGCCTATAAATATCCACAATTCGTGACCTCCTAGTAGTTGGACGTCGCCAGTTAATTAATTTGGATTAATGTCAAATTTTGCATTGACAATACCAAACTGAGTATTAAGATACAATAGAAACTAATTTTTATAATCTGCTTTAAATTATGTACAAAATTCCATATTATACAGCCTAGGATAATGAATTTTTACCAAACAACCAACATCTTCGAAAAAATAAAATTGGGCACCAAAAGCAAAACCAAATTTTAATGCCCTCCTATATTAAATATTGTAAATTTAAAAAGAACATAAATATATATTTTTTTTATTTACAACATTTGTTTCATAATTTTCAACAGTTCTAATTTGATAGACGAAATAAAAAAATGCAAAAACCCACTTTTGAATTTAAAGGTGAAAAAAACATTGTTCGAAAACAAACTTAAAACGGGGGAAAATAATGTCTTGCATGAAAAGAAGACCTTCAACAATGCCTCAATAGCCAAGTCAATATTTCTAACCCAATGTTAGGAAGGCCACAACAACTTGCACCTTGTGCAGAAGCCTTACGAACGAGAGTTAAACTCCGCTTGGGACTAATTGCGTTTTGCATTTTAAGGGTTAGTGTTTGCAGTTCTTACAATTATTTCAATTGATTATATAGGTAGGCCCATGAATAATAAAATATCAACGCTATGGATCTTAAACATAAACAAATTACGTCACTGGTCTGAATATTATAGTAATTAGGGTAAATGCTACAGTTATTGGCACCTTAACGGTAAGCTTCAGAGAAATCTACCACAGCTCCTTTGCAATACTGTTTTTAATATCTACGTTTTTTTAATCATGTAGCAGAATGTACTGAGAATACTTAAATGTATAAAGAAAATATATATATCATTACTTAAGTTTATTAAAAAATGAAAATGTTAAAAAATACAAAAACCATAGTTATTGGCACCATCAACCATAGCTATTGTCACATCTTGGCACAGTTATTGGCACCCATAAAAAAGTCTACAAATATTACATTTTAAGCGTCCTAAGGTGGTATTTGTTGTCTTACGTGATGTATGCCTAATCATATTAGGCCTATAGTATATAGAAGAAAAAATTAAAATTATACAGTAAGTAAAATTAAAATCCTTAAACCCAGACAGCACAGAGTTATCTATAGAATATCTTATAAACATTTCACTTGGATATTTAAGATATCTATAGATGATCAATATCCAGATATTTATATTTGTTAGATATTGTGAAGAAGTTTAAATGTCACTAATTTCTACTTTCAACAGATATTAGATTTTACAATATCTTAAGAACTTCTAAAACTGAATGTTTTACGGATATCTGATTACAGATCACAAAAAATATATAATAAATACATAAAAATACAAAATAATAAAGATTTAATCTGAAAAGCACATTTATCAGTTGAATATTTTCATTAAATAGTACATAAAAACAATTTTTGAAGAAAAAAAACTAGACAAAATTTTTTATACCCTGACAGGTTTCGAACCTGATACCTTCATCTTATGAAACTCTTACCTTACCTCTGAGCTACCTGTGATTATTGATATTAATAGTTTTCAAGCGGTTAAAGAGGAGCCAACAGCTGCAATGGTCGCAATACTTACATATTTTTGATACTATGATTCTGTTTAGGCATCAAGTTGTTAAATTAATTGTTTTTCTGGCAGATGGAGAGAATACTGATATCTGAATATAGATTAATTAATTACCATTAGTAATGTTATTATAATGGTTATATTATTAATTAATATTTACCCTTAAATTGATCAACCCATATAATTTCCTCAAATAAGTTGAAGAATTTTAACTAAAAAGAAAACATTTAAATTATTATTATTATAAAAAGGTGTTTAATCATACATTCAAAGTCAATTGTATAATGTTTTTACGGAATGGCTTAACCGTTTTTTTTTGTTTCTCACAACTTTTGGATCGTGCGAGACTTGTGTTATTGTATTACGTGGTGTAATGCACAATTCTTCCCTTCTGTCTGACTGAAATAGTTTGACTTTAATGAAACACTTCCTTTGGAAAAGTGTAGTCATTCTTGTAAACATCGCTTATGAAATTTTTGTCCACTTTGGGCTTATTAAAATTATTTGATTTTTTAACGCGTAGCACCCATTAGAGTAACGGAGACAACATAATGTAATTAATCTACCAAAATAGCCACATAAAAACTACAATTAAGTTTTGGTTTCATTAGTGTTTGTAGATTTGTTGGTTGATTTTAGATCCTGTGTTTTTATAAGGCTAACTGTAATATTAAATATTCTAGATGAAACAATAATGCACTTATCAGCATTTATCGTCTTTATAATCAATATCCAATCGTCAATGTAGGATTGATATTTACAGGATATCTGGTCGTAGATATCTAGTACTGAATATATGTACAATATTTGTAGGATATTGCATCTAAATATTATATAAATATCTACTGTGAAACTCTTAATATCTATTAAATATCTATAAAATATCTTAACAGATATTTTACAGATTTCTTAGATAAGATATTTTAAAAATATATTTAATTACATTTAGATATCTTTAGACATATTTCAACCACTTTGAATATCCAATGGATATCTGGTGCTGTTAGGGAAATTGTTCATGGTAGGCCTAGTTTTAGTTCTTTGGTAATGGTAACACCTTTACCGAACTTAATACTGTCTTTATACATATTAATTGGTATTGGTTCGTCGTAATCAATGCCATCAAAATATTTCCTGTGAAATATTTCATTACAACGTTCACATTTTACCTTTTGTAGGCCTATTTTTTTATTCTCTTTATTACGTATTTGATCCTGATTGGGGCTTTTCGACGGAATTTTAATGGTTTTAAACATAATATGATGGATCGGTTTTTGGTTTACCCTTTTTTTAATATGGTAAAAATTAGTTATGTGAAACTTTGTATCTTTATATATATATAAATTAAGTATATTGGCCTAAATAAATTTTTTTAATAGTATATACTCGTGTAACCATGTTACGATAACTTAGAGACTTCCATGACAGTAAATGCTGTTACTGGCAGTGTCACCTGTTACCAGTGACTACAGTCATTGGCATGCCAATAACTACAATAATTACCAGTGCCAATCGGAATTAGTGTATTTACCACAGTTATTGGCATGTCAGTTACCACAGTTATTGGCAGTGCCAAGGTAGTGCCAATAACTAAATCACTATATATGTTAGACACAGTTGTTGGCACCCTCATATATTAGGTAATTTTAAGTATATGGGTAAATGGGTGGCGGGAATAGACAAATCAGTCCTTCCTAATACTAATGAAATGATGAAAACGTAATTTTTAACGTTCAGTTTTAATAGGAAACAATAAACAGGTATTTAAGTCCTTGTCAGATTCTTAAGGAAATGTGAAGAATCAATACAAATCGGCTAAGCATTTGAAAAAAAAATTCTGTGCAGGTTAGCATGGCCTCTGAAATAACCAAACACACACTGAAGTACAGAGAACTCATGTGGGCATCTCAGCAACTAACTCCCCTCTTCCACCGACTTTTGCATTTAGGTGTACGAGGCTTTGAAAAAAAGGTGCCAATAACTATGGTAGTGCCAATAACTCTAGCTCTTACCCTACTGTATCAGTTTATTTGGACGTTTTTTGACAGTTCCGTTGTAATATGTTTACTTAAGGGCCAGTAACGTCATTTGTTGATGTTTATGATACATATCGTTTCTGTTCCGAATACGTAGGTAGGCCAGTGTTTTTACCGGAGAATAAATTCTTACCGTACACAACAGTAATCAATATATAGATTTTTTGTAACACATTGCAGGATTAAAATAAAATGCATATTTCACTTACAATAAAAAAACGTCATAACATAATTTACTTTCTAAAGTCTAGAGGACAGTGATTGAAAATATACCTCAACTCCAAAATGTTGTAAATGTTGTAAATTACATCATAAGATTACAAAGAAAAATTAAAGTTGCTAACGTTTAAATATATATTTTGGAAAGAATTCTCTGTTAATAAAATTAGTTATTTATATCAAATTAAGGAGCTTATAATGAGGAGGACAATAAAGGTAAGTGACCTCAGAAATATCGACTGTTTTACCTCAGTCACTTTATACAGTAATGACCTTGACTTTGCGTGCTAAACTTGCGGCGCCTGGTACTGTGCTAGGGCAAAATGTATTGATACACTGCAAACTGCAAGTACCAGGGTACTGTGCTTGGCTAGGGTATAATGTATTGATACACTGCAAGTACCAGAGTACTGTGCGAGGCTAGGGTATAATGTATTGATACACTGCAAGTACCAGGGTACTGTGCGAGGCTAGGGTATAATGTATTGATACACTGCAAGTACCAGGGTACTGTGCGAGGCTAGGGTATAATTTATTGATACACTGCAAGTACCAGGGTACTCTACGAGGCTAGGGTATAATTTATTTATACACTGCAAGTATCAGGGTACTCTACGAGGCTAGGGTATAATTTATTGATACACTGCAAATACCAGGGTACTCTACGAGGCTAGGGTATAATTATTAATACACTGCAAGTACCAGGGTACTCTACGAGGCTAGGGTATAATTTATTGATACACTGCAAGTATCAGTGTACTCTACGAGGCTAGGGTATAATTTATTGATACACTGCAAGTATCAGGGCACTGTGAGAGGCTAGGGTATAATGTGTTGATACACTGCAAGTACCAGGGTACTGTGAGAGGCTAGGGTATAATGTATTGATACACTGCAAGTATCAGGGCACTGTGAGAGGCTAGGGTATAATGTATTGATACACTGCAAGTATCAGGGCACTGTGAGAGGCTAGGGTATAATGTATTGATACACTGCAAGTACCAGGGTACTATGCGAGGCTAGGGTGAAATGTATTGATACACTGCAAGTACCAGGGTAGTATGCTAGGCTAGGGTAAAATGTATTGATACACTGCAAGTACCAGGGTACTGTACGAGGCCAGCGTATAATGTATTAAAACACTCTACAAGGAATATTATTGTCATGCTCAGTATTTTGTGAGATTAGACCACTACATTACTACACATTACTATACAAGATGTATTATTTAAATCTATGTATTGCCAGGAATAGTAATATAACTTTGGTCAGAGAAAATAATATAGGCAAGTGTTACAGCATTATTCGCTTAGAGTTTGATACTAATTCTATTTAACCTTATTACTGTTTATATGCCTTAATCTTGTAATTTTAATATTATAATAGCTACTATTTATATGCGTGTTATGTACGCTTTATGACTGTAACAATTATGAACTAATAAATGTTCATTAATTACATAGTGTTACACTATTAGAAGGGTTCAGATTACTTAAAGTTTGAATGGCATTTGAACTTTATACCTTAGTCTAAATGTACATAGTTGTTAAATAACGCTAGTACCTAGTAATAAATATTTTACTGTAGCAAATTTAATTATCAAAGTAGTCTAAAATACAGATCATATGAAATGTTTGTAATTTCTGTAATCTGTAGTCTTTTATATTTTAATTAATTTCTAGCTGAAGAAAACTGACTTTTTGCAAAATTTAATTGATTATTGTTATGTATTTCAGATGGTATTGCACGACTATCAGCTCGAAAATGTTCGGTTTCCTTTCATGCAAGAAAAGGTAATCACATTTTTTACCAGACAATGAACTATAGGTACAATCATTGAAGTAACCAATAACGGTACAAAAAAAATATTCAGCTATTTAATGCAATGAATGCCCTGAATTTAGATATTGGTGGTATTAAAAACTAAATACAATTTAAACCCGTTTTTTTTCTTTCTTGAAAAGGCTTTTGTCAACTTTTACTTGGTTTATTTAGTTTATGCATTACTGTATGTTCCATTTAACTTATACGAGTTATATTTCAGTCCAGTTTCTGAGATTCACTCAAAAACCGACCTGATTGGTTCCGGTAATGTTTTAAAGAGAAAAAACAACTCAAATGAGGTAAACTATTAATTTTGCATATTTTTAGTGTTGTCTTAAATTTTTATAACTGTGGTTGTGGTAGACTAGTATTTCTTAGTTTTTGATGGTGGCACGGTTTGTGTGGTGTTTTATATTTTTGGAAAGGTGGTATTAAGCCTAGTGTTGTTATTTTCTATTGTGGTGTTGTGGGGCTACTAGTTTTGTAACTTATTTGTAGTTACGGTATTTTAAAAAATATGTTATTTTATATATATGTTATTCAACATACTAACATTAGGCAATAAACTTACATTTTTCTCAAAAGAACATTTAAGTAGGTGAATTTTGAGTTTCCTGGCACATTTTGATGGAAAAGTTTGAAATTAACTGTTTGGCAACCTAATTTTATTTTGTTTACAATGTTGTCTAGCCTATACACACTACCTTTGAGTACTTTTTGTAAAAATCAGAGTTTTTTCCATTATTGTATGGGTTTTTATAAAACAATCACCAATAAAAATCAAAATTAAAAAAATAATAAACTCCTGGAGAAACTCTACCTGGGTCGTAGGTGTAGTCTGTAGCTCATCTGTACACACACATCTATTAATTTGAAACTGTTTTTCTTTGTCATAGCTATTTTGAGAGAACGGCTGGGCGTAGAAACTCGGTAGGGGTGTCTAAAGAAAGGTCTTGGTCTGTAGATGAGCCATCAAAAGAGAAACGTGGTAAATTCCCTCGGGGCTCTGTCCCAGTGGCCTTTAAAGTCCCATCCCATGTTATTCTTATGGAGGAAAACAGAGTTTTTGTCACAGCTAATTTGAGAGAACGGCTGGGTGTAGAAACTTGGTAGGGGTGTCTAAAGACAGGTATTGGTCTGTAGGTGAGCCCTCAAAATAGAAAAGAGGTAAATTTCCTTGGGGCTCTGCCCCAGAGGCCTTTAAAGTTCACTCTGCAATTTTGTTTACATTATGATCATATGGATAATTTTACACTACTTTTAATGAACCAGCTGTTAATATTGACCAGCTGTTGTAAAATTGTATTCAAAGGTCTACTGAAACTGTCAAAATTAAATGTTTACATTATTATTTATGATTTTAAAATGATTCTCCACTGCATGGTAAGTTTTTTATAGTTTCAACAAAATGACGAATTTATGATATGTTTTAAATGTTTTGTTCAAAAATCTATGCTTTATTGCTCTTAGAAAATGTTAAATTATGAAATAAGTGTGACATATCATTTTCAAAGGAACATATAATTATTCCTTATCGGGTTAGCTTATGTATTGTAAGGTTGGCACTTGCCTTTTTTTCCTACTTTCAATCACCATTTATTTTTCAATTCAAGAGAGAACCCCACAAATTCATTTATTGGTATGAAAGTTTTCGATAATCGGGTGGAAAATTGTGTCATAGATGAGTAACTTGCATTGAGGATGAGAGCTGTGTTCAAGTTTTGGAATAGACTAACTACGGAGTATGTTTCATCTATGGTTTTGGTGAAGTAGGTGAACTAATGTCAATTCAGGTATTTTTTTAAAAATGTGTAGGCCTACAGGGTTTTTACTTTGATGTACACATGTAGCTAGGTCGAACAACGCATCTGAACCTCACTACATACAACACATTCGGAAACACAACAGTGTCATCACATCTCATCGCATTTGCATAATTTGTTACCAAGGCTGGACTAGGTTATGCATTTGGTTCCACAAATGTTCAAGATTTGTGATCAAATTTCCTACAATTATGGTTCATTCCATCCACGAAAAACATGCACAGCTTTATGTGGTCGATATGGCCAGGCAAAACTACCCCATAAGTTAATGAATTATCAAGTAAGAACAGGATGATTAAATACATGGGTCGATGTGGCAAGAGAAGGAATTAAAATTGCTTAGATTGAAGTAAGAATGTTACTGCTATCTGGAGAATCAGATATTTTTATCAAATACAGAAAAAACTTATTTAAATGATGATAAAATTCTGTATTTTTATGACTAAAGATGAAGATTTACTTATAAATCTGGATACAATCTGAATGATTTTTCTAAAGCAGTTGGAATTAGTTGTTAGTAATAAATATTGACTCTTTCCGTAACATGATAGACTAATTATATGAACTCATTCTCCCAGATAGTGAAAGTGGCTTTGACATGAAACAAACTCATGAACAAACAATTATAACGACTCCTAAAATACCTTTTGGGCAACATAAAGCCGATAAAAAGGTAGGAAATATTGTGTTAAACGAATTCAACAATCATGTTTTTTAGGGAACACAATCGTCATACTTATTATTATGCTTATCCTCCCTTCATTTGACTAAGATTTTAATGACTTCACTCTATCTATCGCAGTTAGCTGAATTTACATAAAACCTCAAGATTAACCGTCGATTTCGACGGGGTTCCACTAGTATAAATAATTTCAAAACCGAATCGGATATTACCACCCAAAATTCAAACTCAAAAACTTTGACAAAAACAATACCGTACTTTCTTTATACACTATGTATAGGAGAAAATACAAAGTAGATGTGCTTTTGAGAATAACGTTATCATTTTTAGTAAAAAACTTGTGATTGGATTATCAAATAGTATTTCTTCTAGCTGTGATGCTCATGGAGTTTTTATTTTCCAGTTTGAGTCCTCGACTGTCCCTGAACAGCTGTTGTTCCTCCTGGGTGTTCTCGCTGCGGTGTTCATGGGGACTGTATTCCCTCTCCTGATTGTAGCATACTCAGAATTCCTCAACCTTATGATAGCTCGACAATCAGCTGATAGTATCATCTCCAACAACTACATTTTACAGCTGTTTGGTGGGGGTAGTACCAAGTATGTATGAAGATTGTTGTTGTTTATGAATTGTATAAATTCACAATAATGAATTTGTGTCTGTTTCATGATGGTTGGAATTACCAATCAAAATCAATCAATGTTTGATATATTTTATTATTACTAACATTGGTTTTGTAGCTTGTTACTGATTACTGTAGAAATAGAATGTGAGAGAATAGTGGTGGCGTAAATTTCAGTTTGGGGACAAAATAAAGTAAAATAACGTCTTTCATGAATATAATAGTTTTGTCTCATAAAAGTTAATCACACCTTAAATTCATCAACATAACCTAGCCTACGAGATAGCTAATGGGGTTTGTATTAGTTATTGTTTCAAGATTGTTGGCAAAGAATATTTATTACAATAATGCTAAAAACTTTATTAGCTTACCTTCAGAAGGGTGTTAATCATAGACACTAAAAATATATGTTTGGGCCAAAAATGTTGGAAAATGCACACATATAAAATAATAATAATTAATTAATCTAACACAGTGACTACAACGTAAAATCATTGGCTATACACAGAATAGACTTCCCATGTAATTTAAAAATTGGAAGCCAAAAAAGGTGGTACAATATGTTGCGATGGTCTACCAACTATAGTTCAGCCGCTTAGAAAGCGACCTCCTCCAGCATTCGTTTAGCATTAGCGCGCAGGTCGTTTTCTAAGCTGCCGAACTATAATGACAATATTCTGTGTTAAATGATAAATCAATCAGCTGTTTGCTATGATACTGCATTGGTTTTAATTAATATGCAACACAATATACTAGTAAACTCTGGTGAAGTGGTCCTGAACTTCATCTATTTTCTTGGCTTCAAAATTCCACATCACATGGGAAGTCTATTCTGTGTATAGTCAATGGTAAAAAGAAATAGGAATTGTTTAGAGTACTTTGTAAACACCAAAACCTTATGCAAGACAGAATCCACACTTATTCTTGAGTAAATAATCCAGCCTGGAACATGTGCAAACGACAAAAATACTGACTATCAGGAAACGAAATAGATTAGGTGGTCTACCCTTCCCAATGCTTGTACCATATCAAATTTCAATATTGGCTATTGTCAGATATTTCTGCGTGGAGGTTATTAGTCTACGTTTGGTAGCTGAAAAAACGACTGCTTGTTCGGAGTGCTTCTCCAGCAGCACTCTTGTCTCGCTCCTGGCGCAAGGTAGATAACTACAGACATCCTCTCCTTAATACCATCAACACGTCCAGTGTTTGCTGCGCTCTTTGTGTGAGAAAAATCAACTTATTTTGGACGACCAGAAAAATACTTCCCCTCACTAAAACTTTACCCGTTAAAAGATAAACATACTGTACTGCCAAAGTGTCACTAGAGTTTTTTACATGAAATTTGTGGTAAGATATCATAAAACATTATAATTTTGTTCACAAGATTTAGGCGGTTTTACAGGAAGAAATCCATCCCTCCACGTCTTGATCCTACCATTAAACATAGCTCAACAGCTGACATTTGTCAAAACGTGAATCAGCTGCAACATACATTAAGCAGAATAAAGTGTTGGGGGAACTTCCCCTCAAACAGCCTAAATATTGTGAACCGAGTATAGTAAATTTACAGTTAACAGTTATAGTTATTGTGAACTGTACTTTTTAATTTAGACCTATTTCAACAGTTCCAGTGGTACATATGAGGAGAGGATGGATCGTTTGCTCGATGATTCCCTGGCTTTTGTCATGGCTCAAACTTCTGTGGCTGCAACAATGTTTGCCTGTGCCGTCCTTTCTGTATACTTGTTAAACTACTCTGCTCAGAAAAGGGTAAATATTGATTGAATCAATGTATTTAGTAATGTAAGCTGATAAAAAACAAAGGTTTAACAAGTTCGCTGTGGGTGAGTGGCGACATCGCCTATTCAATTTCTGCACAGCAGTACACCGGGAAGAACGGGTATTTTTATGTCTGTGTTTAGTTAGGAATGGGTGCTTAATTGTAGTGTAGGTTGGTAGTAAATTTCCCTGTAAAATCCCCTTCTGGAAAACTTAGAAATCTTCTTGTTATCCCGTCTTTCTCCCTCTTATTGGCAATTCAATGGGACTGGCTAGTTCGAAGCAGTGCTGCTATCTGTGAGTGTTTCAGCAAACTACGTCAACTTTCGTTGTAACGCAGAAAATCACCTTACATCATTTACTATTTGTCAGACCGAAATATTTGAAAGCTAAACGGGTTCACTTGACGCTGTGCCGCACCGGGACTAAGCCTGCCATTGGTGGGCCGCAGCGAACGTTTTTAAGTTTAAAGTCATCACCATGCTTGGTTGCGCTACTTTTGATTTAAAGGAACATTAATGTAAAATCCATTTATGCCAAAATGGATTTTCTTTTATTCCTCTTCTAGCCCTGAATTGTTTTCCACATGACTTCATCAGGCTAGGTAAAAAGGGGGTTGGGAAATTATCACTTAGATCAAATCCATTGGTGATTGGTAGGATTTGAACCTAGGACCTCAATGAACCCAAAGTCTTGCACTGTACCAATAGACTATAGTTCCCCTAATCAAAAAGACATACTACTACCATTTAAATAACAGTCTCTTTTTTGTTATTCTTTCAAAACAGTAGATTGAATTTGATCTAAGTTTTTGAATATAGGAGTTATGGTTTTATAACCCTCATCACTGTGTCACTAGGTAGGCAGAATGAGAAGACATTTCCTCCGAGCTGTTCTCTACCAGGACATTTCATGGCACGACACGCAAAACACTGGCGCTTTTGCAGCACAATTAACCGAGTAAGTAAATATTAGTTTAATAGAGCGATTACAATCACTAATGATGGTGAAAAGAAGTCCCCATCAGGAATGACCATGAGGAAAGCTGCTACAAAGAGGCTTTAATTATATTTCTGATGCCCTTCACACCTGAGGATGGGATCATATTCTAGATCCTGAAACGTTTTGTAAACTTGTATTTTTACTTATTCAATCCTTATGGAAAATATCTTAAATAATTCCTCAAACACAAACGCCATAAATCCACCATCACTAAAAATTAACTTCAAAGAAAGAATTATGGTCACCACTGACTTTGGTACAACCAACACTGGAATAAAAATAGTTGGTTCTATCTATAAACCTAGTGTCATATTGTTGACTTTTTTCGGTACGTTTTTGTTGCTTTTAGTGATAAGTTTACTGATGCAAAAGGATAAAAATAGTTTATGATTACAACTGTTTACTTCTGCTTGTAGCAGCCTGGATAAACTGCAAGAAGGTGTGGGGGAGAAGGTTGGAATGTTCGTCTATCTTGTGACAACATTTGTAGTTTCCGTCATCGTCGCGATGTTCTACGGGTGGAAACTTGCTCTCGTCATGACAGCGATCTGCCCCGTTTTTATATTGGTGACCGTCTTGGTTGCTAGGGTAATTATCATAAAACAAGAATTCTTGAGTACTTCATTTAGCAGTCTAGTCACATTGTTAACAGTAATATTGTAGTATTGTAAAAGTAATGTTCTAGTAGTAATGTGGTTTAGGAGAGGTTGCAAATAGTGAAATATTTGTAGCACCTCACAATTTGTTAGAGGATTAAATACATTTACACCTAACATTAAAATTGTGTGTGATTCAGTAGATCTGAATTCATTAGATGGATCGCAAAGAAATATTAAGTAATTACAGCTGATGGTTCTTGTTCATTTTATATTTATGCATGTCTCTCCAATCGAAATGTTGGTCCAACACCCATGTCACTGACATTTATCGTGCTAGTGACATGCCACTCGAAAACCTACCTGTGATAACTTATGGAGCTATACACACCAGTGTAACGAACACGTTGTCAGTGACTCGTGTCACTTGCACGTGCCTCTAGTGAACCAACCTGTCTGTGTTTGAATGGACTTGTCTCTTGCCTCTTAGGACCGTGCATATAAAGAACACGGTTCTATAGTTGTGTTGGCGCTATGGTACTAATCTGTTTTGTTTTACTCTATTTTTTAGTTATTATCCTTGATGTTACATTTATCTTTCAACAGAACAGTTTTTCAAAAAGTTTCAGTTTCATCCTATACAAGTTTTGGAACTTTTCAGGGTGTTGGAACAACTGTCTTGTTGAAGTAAATTTATTGAATAACCTTTCCAATAAGGATGGATCCATAATTCTATTTGAAAATGAATTCTTCCCGTCATCTTCTTCTCTTTAACACCAACAACAACAATATAGCATCCTCCTCTGACCTTGACATTATTGAAACTGATTCCTTCTCTTTCTTGTCACTAAAACGTGGCTCTTCCATGTTTGTATTTTATTGCATGTCACCGACATCATGCTAGTGATATCAGAAATGCCAGTGACACCGGTTCGCAACCCGGCTAAAGTTTACGACTAAAAATACAAAATTTTAAGGAAAATATTAAGCAAATTAATATGATAGCACTTAAATATTGTATATGTATATGGTATTAGTTTTTAAAGGGTTTTTAAGTTTAGTTTTAAGGCAGTGATTAGGTTATAGTAAAACACCATTTTACTTGAGAAGATAGTCTCTATTTCAACTAGCAGAGTTGCCAACATTATAACAGTGAAAAAAAACATTTTTACATTACACAGAGATAACTATTACATAGGCCTAAATTGATAACATATAGCCTAACAATAGTTTATCCAACACACTCCCTTAATGTACAAATGTTTTTTTTTTACAAATACAGAAAAATAGTGTTATTTTATTAGAACATGATATTATTTTACATGAGAAATTGTTAAGTACCTATCATGTTAACAAATTATAAGTATGAAATTGACAGTAGGCTGTTTATTTATTTTTCTCTAAAAAAAGATTTGCCATTTAAAAATAGTATGCTAAGTAGCCTGCATGATTTGTGTAGGCTAAATTATGTCTTTACACATTACTTAATAGCTGACTTGTAAACTTTGAAAATTTTGTGCTGGACAAAGGTTTTGTGAATATGTCAGCCAATTGGTCCTCTGAGCAGCAGTACTTTAAGTCAAATAGTTTGGCATGAAATTGTTCGCTCACAAAGTGAAATCTCACATCAATATGCTTACTCTTTCTGTTCATTTGACCTGATTTGATGAGTTTTATGGCACTTTGATTATCAACATTCAGGGTGGTTTTCACAGTTTTTTCGGTCAGTTCTGTGATTAGAGTCTTGATGTATTTTATTTCCTTGCAACATTCAGCTGCAGATATGTACTCAGCTTCAGCTGTTGATAGAGCAGTTATTGGTTGTTTTTTTGAACTCCATACAATTGGTGCACTTCCTAACAGCAGGACATATCCGCTTGTACTTTTTCTATCCTTTACATCTCCTGCGTAGTCTGAGTCACAGTACGCTTGAATACTTAGGTCTTTAGAACTTGTTGAAGGAAAAAATATTCCTTTGTTTTTTGTTCCTTTGAGGTATCTCAAAGTTCTCTTGATGTTTTGGACATCCTTTTTTCTCGGATTTTCGGTAGAGCGGCTTTCAAAATTAACTGCAAATGTCATGTCTGGTCTAGTTTTATTAGTCATGTAGAGAAGGCTTCCTATAGCTTCTCTATAAGGAAAGTTAGTTTTTCCATCTTCATCAACAATCTTAGTCTGTTCTTCTAAGGGAGTAGATACTGACTTACACTCTGTCATATTAAAGTTGTTGAGTACTTGATTTGCATAGTTTGTTTGACTGAGATAGATGCCTTCCTTTTTCCTGGTTATTTCCATTCCAATATACATATTTGGATTCTTGTTAATTGTCATCTCAAAATTAGTTCTGAGTTTTTCTAGCAGGTCTTTAAGTTTATTTTGATTTTTCGCCATTAAGATGCCGTCGTCAACATGAATAGCCAAATAAAGTTCATTTTTAATATCCTTAAACAGGCATTGATCGGTTTTGAGCTGTATTAGTCCTTCATCTTTCAGAAATGAGGTTAACTTCTTATTCCACTGACTTGGAGCTTGTTTTAAACCGTAGAGGGCTTTCTTGAGTTTGCAAATTTTCCCTTGTTCCTTAAATCCTTCTGGTATCTTCATATAAATATCATTCTCAATTTCCCCATACAGGAAAGCAGTCTTTACATCGAAGGTTTGGATATGTAAGTTTTCTTGAGCAGCTAGTGAGAAAAGAATTCTTAAAGAAGCACTTTCCACAACTGGACTGAAAGTATCTCTAAAGTCCAAATTTCCTTTCTTCTGTTCACAGCCTCGAACTACTAAACGGGCTTTATATGTCCCATCCTCTTTAATTTTAAACACCCATCTACTTGTTAGTATTTCATCATTTTCATTCAGTTGTTTTTCATCTATTATTTCCCAAGTCTCATTCTTCTCTAAGGATTGTTTTTCTTTCTTAATGGCCAATTCCCATTTTTCTTTATCGCTCCTAGTCATACATTCATTGTACGTCAGCAGAACTTGGCCGTTTTCATATTCTTCTTCATATCTTGAAGGTCGTTTCATATTTATTCTTGGTCGCAGATTGTAGTGTCGTTCATTTTCAATTTCTTCATTTATATCAGGCCTTCCAATATTTTCTTCTTCTAGGTTTGCACCTAGTTGGTTTTCTTGATCTTCTCCTTGAGTTTCATGCATGTGTTCTTCTCTTTCTTCATCTTCTGCAGTTTGTGTACAATCTTCATCAGAAAAATTATTTTGCATCTGTCTTATTTTAATTTGTTCAGAGTTTGCATCTTTGAAAATCACATCTCTAGAGATAAATATTTTTCTTTTTTCAGGATCCCACAATCGATAGCCGTTCATTGCATATCCGACAAAAATAGCTTCTTTACTTCTTGCTTCCAATTTCTTTAAATAGCCTAAGACTTTTGCATAGGCTACTGTGCCAAATATTTGAAGTCTTGAAAGGTCAGGTTTTCTGTCGTACCATTTTTCAGCAGGTGTTGTATCTAGGTTAACAGTAGGGCTTCTATTAAGTAGGTATGCAGATGTTAAAATAGCCTCGCCCCACATTTCTTTATGTAGATTAGAGTCAAAGATCATCGCTCGAGCCTTTTCCATTAATGTGCGATTCATTCTTTCGGCTGTTCCGTTGAGCTGGGGTGAATAAGGTACTGTGTAGTCTATGACAATTCCTTTAGATTTGCAATACTCTTTCAGACCACTGGCAACATACTCACCACCATTGTCGCACCTTATTTTAGAAATTTTAAGATTGAAATGAGCTTCTGCTTCATTTACATATTCTTTTAGGTAGCTAAACACTTCACTTTTACTTTTTAATAGATACACCTTACAAAAATGAGAGAAATCATCAATAACAGTTAAAAAATACTTTTTACCATCGTGAGTCAAGGGTTCAATCGGACCGCAAAGATCAGAATGTATCAGTTTTAAAGGTCTAGAAGCTTTTACTCTAGATGTATTGAAAGGATTCCTTACTTGCTTAGATTTAATACAAATATCACAAAATTCATCTTCACACATATAAACATCAGCTGGAATGCCATTACTAATTTTTGTCAACTTTTTCATATACGGAAAACTGATATGACCTAACTTTCTATGCCATTCTAAAGCTACTTCATTACGTGTAGTAGGGCTAGTGTTTGACTTTATGATTACCGGTACATTGGTTTGTTTTTGGATAGGTTTTACACTTTCTGTATCAAAAGGTTTAGGCCTACATTCATTTTGATCAAATTTGCTTAGGCCTACAGTAGCGACTTCATTTACACTTTCCGTTAACTGAACTACATACAAACCACTTTTATTTTTACACCCTTCTAAAATGATAGACTTATCTTTCAGAACTTGTACCTTGTTTTTTGTGAATAATACTTCGCCACCGTTTTCGGTAATTGCATTGACAGACATTAGGTTATTACTTAACTCTGGTACATAAGAAACATTTTTTAGTGTACATTGGTCAGAGTCAACATTTCCTACAGCAATTTGCTGCATGCTTTGATTTTTCTTTGCAACAGAAATACTTTTAGTACATGATTTTACATTTTCTAAAATAGAAATATCATTTGTCATGTGATTAGGGGTACAACCACTATCAATAATGAAAGATTTGGTATTAACGCTATCGCATAGGTTAACACAATCGCCTAGTTGTGTAGACTTGTTTGTTGGCAGATTTACATGACTCAGAAAAGATGTTTTACAGTCATCTTTAGGTTTAAATTTAGATTTGTTACGGAAAAAGCAATTCTTTTCAGAATGGTTAGTTTTCTTACATATATTGCATGCTTTAGGCTGCTTATTTTTCAAAAAACATTCACTTTCTACATGATTAGGTTTCTTACAGTATGAACAAAATTTTGATTTTAGGCCTACGTTAGGACAGTTTTGACGAATGTGTCCTGATTCCTTACAAGAATAACATGTTACAACTCTAGGCCTACCTTGAGATTTGGTTTTAAAAGCTACTTGCTCACAGTCACTCACGGTCTTCGCCTCTTCTTGCAACAGTCTAGCCTTCAGGTTCTCGAGGGTTTTCTCGGTTGCACTGGTAGAATCCCACGCACTGGAGAAATGTTTATATTGGTCTGGAAGGATACTCAGGATCTTTGTGAGTAGCATCGTGTCGTCCACTTTTTGGTCAAGTCTGTTAAGCTTAAAAGCAATGTTCTGTATGTAGGCTATGTTTGACATCATGTCCTTTTGAAGATCGAATTTGAAGTTGTAGAATTCTTGCAATAAAGAACACTTTTGCTGTGTCGTATCTCTTTGAAAAAGGCGTTTTAAAGTGTCGTACATTTGTTTGGAAGTGTCACAAGTGACTACATGCATTTTAACTGATTGGTCTATAGTCATTATTATGATGTGTTGTGCTTTTGCATCTAATGACTTCCAAGCCTTCTTTTTCTTATCATCTTCTTGATTATCCAAAGTTTCTGTTCCATCAACAATATCCCAGAGATTTTTGGACTTAAAAAGAATTTTAACCTCAAAGTCCCACATGGTGTACGATTCGATGTCCTTGAGTTTGCCGACATTGTTCAGTTCACTTTCACTCCCGGAACTCATGATAACTTTATTCCTCTTTTTCACAATGGTTTTAATGTTTTTATGGTTTTACTATATATCTGGTCCCATAACCTATTAGTTTTTAAAGGGTTTTTAAGTTTAGTTTTAAGGCAGTGATTAGGTTATAGTAAAACACCATTTTACTTGAGAAGATAGTCTCTATTTCAACTAGCAGAGTTGCCAACATTATAACAGTGAAAAAAAACATTTTTACATTACACAGAGATAACTATTACATAGGCCTAAATTGATAACATATAGCCTAACAATAGTTTATCCAACATATGGTATGTGATATCATTGTTAAACAGGTTCAGACACGTTTGTCTGCCAAGGAAGGAGAGAGTTACGGAGACGCAGGAGCAGTCGTAGAGGAGGTTCTGTCTAACATCAGAACCGTGGCAGCCTTCGGAGGGGAACACAAAGAAGTTGACAGGTGAGGAGGTAATATATTGATTAACCACACATGTTGTTGGATTTTGACTAAATTTAGTGTTCTAGTTTTAACTCAAAACAAAATAGTACAACCCCCAATGTTGTAAAAATTATGGTTCAAAAGTTGTTGCAATATTTGTGATTTTGTCCATAAAATATTACAGTTACTCCCACTGATGGCCACCACCACCAGGTGTTGACCTTCCACTTTTTAATTATTCCGATATTTTACTGCATAGATCGATACACTGTTTTGGATAGTAATATTCCCTATAAATACTTCTACAGTAATGTCTTTACTGCTTCCAGATACAATCAAAAACTGATCCCGGCCAGAAGAGTTGGCATCAAAAGTGGAATATTCTCGGGTTTCGGAGGAGGAGTTTCATGGATGTTGATATTCTTCAGTTACTCCATTGCGTTCTGGTATGGAACTCCGCTAATATTGGCAGACCGATACAATGAAGACAAGACTTATACTCCCGGAGTTTTGCTCATTGTGAGTATTTTGTCTTATCAGTATACTTAAGCTACAGCCTGCTGTTGTGACTTGATTTTTAGCATATAAAAATGGTTAAGTTACCTGATGTCGCCTTGTGGTCCAAGTCTTGTCGTTAATGGACTATGAGCGTTTCGGCATAAACACCATCGTCATAGTCGTATAAGAAATAATTTTCCCTCAAGAGGTGCGACAAAAGTTCACAAATAAAACACATAAACCTAAAAAACACTGATCGAACTTTATTTAGCATCGTTTCTCTTATACGGATCTGACAACGGCGTTCTTGCCAAAATGCGCATAATCCATTAAGCACATAATCCATTAATTGTTTCAATTATTGTAAAATTTGATGTAACATTTGGACTTTCAGGTTTTGTTTGGTGTTGTCAGTGGGGCAATGAATTTAGGTTTCTGCACTCCTCATCTTGAAGCTTTTGCTAAAGCTAAAGGAGGTTACAATTCTGTCATTTCAATCTTACGAAGGAAACCTGTGATAAACATCGACAAGAAAGGAGTTCTTTTGGACTCAAAATTAGGAGAAATTGAGTTTAAAGATGTTCATTTCACTTACCCTGCCAGGCCTGATGTTAAGGTAAGTGGAGACTTTTGTTTTATTATTGTAAATTCAGACGTACATGCTTTGTTTTGAACTTCCTTAATTCAAACACCTCTCCTATTTGATAAAAATAAAATTTTGCATTGTTTTTGGACAATTAATGTATGATAATTAGGGATTATGTTGATCAATGGGCCCAAACTCTGACATCGAATCACTTTTCCATTTTCAAGCTCCTTGTCACCAAAATAAATGTAATCAAAATTGTGGATATTTACAGTTTTTTACTCGTCCTTTGGTGTGCTAATTATTTAAATTCCAATTTTTATTGAGAAATTTTAATTTAATTCTTCTTAGGTTAAGTTCCTTTAAGGAATTCCTGCAATGATCATTAAAGATGAAATATTAACTTGGAAGATAATACAGTAATTGAATACCTCTATCAAACATCGTTGCAAAACAAAATATTTTGTGAAATTGATATTTTTCAAAGAACAACGATGCAAATAACATTCTCTTCTGCATGGGATATTTTGATTTTAAAAATCATAGGTTGGCAGCACTTATACAAGTGATGGAATATGTTGGAACCAACATTTTTGTGTTTTTTGAAAATATTTACTTCTGTCACTTGAAACAGCAATAATACACTTGCTTTGGCAAAGCTTTTCAACTATGTATTTTTTGTTCACCTAGCTCTTTTCACAATGACCGACAACTTTGTTTCAGATTCTGAAAGGACTCAGCCTCAAAGTCAAGAAAGGGGAGAGTGTGGCCATTGTTGGAGGTTCGGGGAGTGGGAAGTCAACAACAATTCAACTAATCGAACGTTTCTACGACCCTCAGAGTGGTCAGGTGAGTCTTTGTTAAAAAATTAATTTAAATAAGTGACTATTTTCATACCAATCTATTAAACTATCAACCCAATTCACATAGAATATTTTAGAATCTATAGAGGGTGTTTTTTACACAACCCAAATTTCAAGTTCAATATAGAGAATCGCTATTTACAGACAAAAGAAGCTCATAAGCTGTAAGCTCTCCTTCCGATTTTCTATTACGTTCTTTACCGAAACTCTACTTAACCGGTTTTCTAATATATTTTCATTATTTTCTACACAGTTTTGTGTTTTTGAAAATTTATTGTGAGTAAAAAATTCAACATGTTTGTTCTCTCAAACACAACCTAAATCATGTTGACAACAATTCTTAAATGCATCAGCTTATCGGCATGAAGTAAGGGAAGCAGTGCTACTAACATATGAACTTGTTTTATCCCTAAACAGTGATTCTCAGTACGAATCTTGTAATTTGGGTTGTGTTTGTAAATACACCCTGTGTACGCTAAACAATGTCTACATTTTTAAAAGTCAGTGTTGTCTTAGATAAGTCTTAACGGAGTAGACTTACGCACTCTGGACCTGCGGTGGGTTCGAGCTCAGATTGGGCTGGTCGGACAAGAACCTGTATTGTTCAACACGACGATCACAGAGAACATCTGTTGTGACTTGAAGGTGACGCGAGCAGAGATGGAAGAAGCAGCCAGGGAGGCGAACGCTCATGACTTCATCATGAAATTGCCTGCGGTAACTATACTTTACATATCGTAGATTAGAGTTTTACTCAGCAGCCAAAAATATTTTTACTTGATGTTATAGATGTTGGTTAGAAAACTACGTAGTCGATTTGATTTTTATGTGGACTTGTTAGGTACCTAATTGTTGATGCTCTAATTTTAGACATAGTATCTATAGATACTCTAGTTGTAGACACTAGGTGTGCTATTTACATTATTTCATGTTTGTGGGATTGTAGCCAACTTTTTTGTTTATTAAGGGACGATTTTCTAAATTTCAACTGAAGATCACTTCGATAGACATATGTTCACGTACAACCTGAAGAAGTAAAGTGCAATTTGTGTTACCTTAAGTAGGTATAAACACAGTTTTCAATATTAATCAGTATTTCTGAGGATAATTTGATTAATAAGATGAAACTGAATTCCCTTGAACTTAGACTTTATTGTAAAGGCTGAAATAATTTCATGGTGAAGAACATAAACCCTAAAAATACTGCAGTAGGACTGCAATACCTCGAACCTTGATATCTTGAATTGCTATAATCCCCTTGAAATCCCCATAGATCATAATGTTAAAAAGTAGCCTACCTCTATAAGTCAAAGTTTTTAAGTATTTAACTGCAATAAGTTGAATGTTAACAGTTTTTGAAAAACCAAGGATTTTGAAAAACCAAGGAAAGTATGAGGCTGAATTAAATAACAAGAAAACATGTAAGAACAGTGAGACCAGATTTGGACAAATGTGTTTTGAATTGGTTAAAAAGGTGTCAGATTTAAAACATTCCCATATAAGGACCAATTTTGCAAGTGAAAACCGTACTAGACACCACTTAAGTGTGCCATTGAGTGTTTTCTTCTGTACCTTCCATCACAGTGCTAGTTAGGAAGTAACAGCATTGAATAATTTTAAAAAAAAAACCTTTCTAGGGTTACGGGACCATGGTAGGGGAGCGCGGCGCACAGCTCTCTGGGGGCCAAAAGCAGAGGATAGCCATTGCACGAGCTCTTCTGCGACAGCCAAGCATCCTGCTGCCAGACGAGGCGACTAGTGCGCTGGACATGGCTAACGAGGCTGTGGTGCAGAGCGCGTTGGAGCGTGCCAGCAGAGGCCGCACGACTATCACCATCAGCCATCGGCTCTCCTCCATCCGCAACGTCGATCGCATCCTGGTCCTGGCTAGCGGAAGGTGGGATGTCAAATGAGAAACACAAAAAAATTTGAAAATTTAGAATACTTATTAGGACTACTTCTTAGCTTAGACCTTCCTTGGTTTTAAAACACTGTTATTTACAGTTAAGTACCCTAATTTTTCTGTTAAGTGTAAAGCTATGTTTGTCAGGTAACCCTGCTATCCCAAAACCTAGGACATTGGTCCCTAAGTCAAATGATTTACTTAGTACAGTAATAAGATTTTTTAGGATAAGCCTATTCACAGATAAGTAACGTATAGAGGAAACTTGCCTATGGTACGACCATGCACTTTCAGCTCTGGTATGTTTTGATGGTAACATAATTGTGACGATGAAGGAATATTCCATTCGGCGAGCACTGTGTGTACATTCCTTAGTGGTTAGTGGTTGTCAAGATGTCAATCTGGGTCTTATTTTAAAGTAGACCTTGGCTTCGCCTTAGACATGGCGCAGTTCGGTTTAGATAAATTTAAATTAATGTAATAAGTAAAGTATGCGAAAATGAAGGCAGTAGTGAAGCCACCACAGGAGCTGGTGATTGAAGAACGGTGAGTGAGACGTATTTGGAAGCCATCGAAGGTAAAGAACTCAAGTTAACTGAAAAACGAAAATGTGTAATTTTGATGCACATAATTGGAGAAAGGGCAGTGGAAATCTTTGAGACCTTCGACAACAAAAAGGAAACTTTGAAAGAAGTGTTGAATCAAAGCCAGTTTTACACAACTTTTTACTGAAAGAAACTTGAAGCATCAAAGAAAGATGATGCCAAATGGGAAGAGGCTAAAAAACGAGTGGAAGCAAAAAGTAAATGTCGTGAAAGTTTGAAGGAACGTTCAATGAACGTTCTAGATAAAAATGAACCCAAGAAAGGCCATGGATCTAGGAACTTTTGTAAGCGTTCCTCCTGTTAAAGAGGTAAAAGAAAACGCTCCTCCTGTTGAAGAGGTCAAAGAAAACGCTCCTCCTGTTGAAGAGGTCAAAGAAAACGGTGCTCCTGTTGAAGAGGTCAAAGAAAACGCTCCTCCTGTTGAAGAGGTCAAAGACAACGCTCATCCTGTTGAAGAGGTCAAATAAAATGCTCCTCTTGTAGAAAAGGAAAAGCCCCATGAGATATTGGTAGAGCCTAGAGTCTACACCAACAAGATGGCTAATCCAGAGATGAAGCTGCACAAGGTTGCCAACCACCCTTACCTGGTGCAGATGCCCGTTGAGGTGGTTGATGGAGTGATGAAATTCAATGAGGAGGTGGTTAGTGGTTGTCAAGGTGTCTGTCTGTGTCTTATTTTAAAGTAGACCCTGGCTTTGCCTTAGACAGTCACACAGAGCACAGGGTCCTCCTCCACCGTGAGTGTTGTAGTACTTGAGGGTAAGGGGTGCTGCGAGTAACAATGTCTCTCAAAAGTTCATGTCTTTAAGTTTCACAATTTTTTGAACAACAAAGTTTTTCTGCTCTAATATAATTCAGGGGTTTTCAGTTAACTTAATTTTACACTTAGCAAAGGGCTGAAAATTGAAATTATATGACCGCTAATTGGATGATATAAAACTTTTTGTTTGACAGAACTAATGTAAAAGTAACCATCTTTGTTTTGATAGACTGGTAGAGGAAGGATCTCACTCAGAATTGATGGAGAAGAAGGGACATTACTACTCTCTGGTGACAGCTGATGCTTCTCTTCAAGAGGGTGAGTAAAATCAAAGATGGGTCATTTTTTATTTTTTATTAATTTATAAAGATTTACATCCAATTAATACTATTACAAAAAAGATTAGTACTTTTTTGCAAACTTGGATTATTTTAAATAATCAAATGGTTTCATTGCTTGTTGTAAACATACTTATTGAATACATTAAATTAAGACTTAACAAACTAATTTTTCCTACAGTCACCTGACAAAGTGGGTTCCTTGTACAGAAAGCCTTACTTTTTCGCACAGTTTTTAATTTGGCGCACTGGCGCACACCAGTATTCCAACCGAACAACACAAAACAGCGTGCGTTTATTATGCAGGTAATCCCTGTATGCTTGAAAATAAGTTGGCAACACTTAAAGATATTACGACTACGATCAGCTGGTGCAGCGTTTCCCATTTCCTTCAATGTTTAGATTTAACCTAACCTAAAAACGTGTTTGAAAGACTAATTATTTATATGATTTATGGTAACTGTAGGAAAAAATATAATGTGTAACACGAGTGCAAACTGCTTTTGCTGCACTCGAGAAACTTTCCTCACTCGCCTTTGGCTTGTGCGTAAACATTTCTCTTGTGTGCAGCAAAGTGCCACTTCGCTCACTAGTTACACAAAAAACTATTGAAGAAGGACATAACATTAACTATAAAAAGTATAATGCTAGTACTAAGTCCTTACCTACTCTTCAAAATTGAAGCATTAGGAGATTTATGCTCTTGAAATATCTCGTTGGTCAAATTTTGTTGAAAATGCAGTAAGTTAGTTTGTGTTTTCACAAAATTTAGTAAAAGTCTAGTGCCTTATCTAATTATCAACCAAATGGTAGCATTATCATTTAGTCTAAGTGGCACTTTTTCTAAAATTTCTATTTGAGCTGAAAATATTAAAGCTTTAATATATGGTCAAATATTGAGATAAAATAGAAGTGGAAAGTTATCAAAGCAGAACATTTCATTGATGGAAACCTGTTTAGCTTCCAGTCCCAGTAACAAAGACAAACTAGATACACAAACAAATGAGTTCATACCTCTGGAAGAGGCTGACGTAATACCAAAGGAAACTGAGAAAAAGGAAGACTTGCCTGAAGAGGTGAGTAAAATCCAACTTTTCTTGAGTTGAACTAAAGTAATTTCATATGAATCAAAACCAATCAGTACTTTCAGCAATTTACTAGTTCATATGTACGTTGTCGTTGAAATTGTTTCTTAAACTGAATAGCTCTGCCAAACAACGTTGCAAGAGACAAAAGTGAAAATTTTCAGAAAACAAAATTACATTCTGGTTGTGCTGGTGCTAACACAGCCAGTTTACTGTGCATTCAATCGCTTGTACCGAAAGTGATTTCCCAAAACGTGCTCCGATTATTCCCATCCTCGGCTTCGTTGATTCTTTTGGAAGTAATAAACTACAAAGAACGAACTCTTAGGATTCGTAGCCTATCAAACAGTTGAGAACTTAGCGATGCTGGTGCTTACAACTGGGACACGCCGATGTTGTGATGTCCGCAACTGATGCTGTGCCAATGTTAAAGTAGCCTGCCCACGCTCTATTTGCCGAAGCCCCAAACTACAACAGTTTACCTAAACGATGAACCAAATATATATTTTAAAACCTTAAGAAACATACTAAAACTTTTGTTCAAAACATTTTGCGTATTTTATTTGCAAAAAATATATAGAGGATAAAACAAAATTGTGTACCTAAAACATAAACACTATCAAAGTTAAAATGTTGTATCGCTTTGAAAATATTTTTTAGAAGAATACCTTTTAGGACAAAAGTGGTAGATAAACTAATTATAAAATAATACAAATCAAATTTCAATAAGATATCATCCGTAGAATTTGAATTGTATCCAATAAAATGAAACAAGTGCAATTTCTTGGTTTGGAGTGGATCCCCATCCACTCCCCCGGGGAAAGCTCAAGGGGTAGAAGTGGGGACTTTTAGGAAAATACCTTTCATGTGGTTCTATCTAATAATTATAAATTATTTATCACATATACAAAAACTAGCTATCCACAATTTAGTTGCAAAAAATTGTGTTTTATTGTTTTCATTGACTGAGCATCAAATAACATGTTTCCTCTGAAGATACAGAGGAAACACATTTAATTGAAAGATTACTTCTCTGTGGGCCACATTAAAAAGCGATCAAAATAGTTTTTTTTTAATTTATATGTATTTTTAGGCTTCTAAAAATCATTTCAATTGTAATTATTTTTAATAATTTTGCTGCCTGAATTTTATGTTTACTTCAACATATAAAAGGTGTTGTTCCTAGGATTACAATGTCCCACTTTTGAAGATCGTCGGACTCAACAAACCTGAATGGCCCTACGTACTCTTGGGATCTGTCTTTTCATTTCTCAATGGATGCATTTCACCTGTTAGTGCTGTATTCTTTGGAGACATGTTTTGGGTAAGTTTTTTTCTAGAATTCCTAGCTTTTTCACATACATATCCATGCACACATGATCCGTTTGATTCACCCGATTTCAATTTTTTGTCACGTTAACTCATATGTGCAAAAGTAAAATTATGACTTCATACTAATTAAGTCTCTGTACACTTGTACTGTCAACGGTAAAAAAATTCACTTTGTTAACTTCAAATCAAATAGATATCTTAAAATATATGTAATTTTGTTATGCTTTACTTTATGAATAGTTATCCTTAGAAATAAATGTTGTGCTCTTTAAATGATGCTAATGCTTCAGTTTTTTTTATTAAAACGTCTATGAAAATGACAAATAAAAAAATAACTTTATATTGTTGTACATTTCAGGCGTACTCTTCGCCTGATGACAGTGTCATCCTCTCCGCAGGGAACCTTTACGCTTTATCGTTTGTCGTCCTTGGGATATTTGCCTTCATCTGTGTCTTTTTGCAGGTTGGTAAATTTTGTATGTTTCAATCAATGAACGTGAAAGTATTTGGGTTACAGACTTTTTACTTTCCTCCTTTATAAATAGTAAGCCTTTGGAGAACCCCCATCCTTTTTGAGTGCCTCTGAGCACATCCAGGCATCCTTGGTGTCTTTAGGGATTTTTCCTTTTTTATTTTGTTTGATTTTTTATGGTGATTTTTCAATACAACACCATGAAAAAAGAAAAAAAATTATTTCCAAAAAAAGTGGCTCAATTTTGATACAAAGATAGATAAATATTTTTTTTTTTTGTTATGCAATTTTACAAATATTTTATTGACTACCATAAACTTTTTGTACATTTTTGATGTTTTACAGATATGTTTTATTATTAAATTATTTAAGTCCTGTTATTTAGTTTTAAGCTTGACAATATCTTTATAAATTTTCAGGTAGACTATGCAATGTTTTTTAGATGTTACAATTTTTTTTGATTATTAATACTAAATATACGTTTAAGTCTGTTATTTAGTTTTAAGAAAGGACTATTTTTAAATGTTATAAGAAGATGACGAAGCACCTGTACATTTACCTGTAAACTCTGTACGTTATGTGCCAATAAACATGATTATGATTATGATTATTATGATTATGATAACAATTTAATAAGCTATAGACCCTTTAAATCTAATCAAAATGGCACATATCCCATTGCTGTAAAAATTACAGTTTAAAAGTTATTGCAAATTTTTTGATTTTACCTATAAAACATCACATAGTTACTCCCACCACTTGGCCATGATGACGGTTGCAGACAAGTTATAGGTATGTGCCAGGTCCTGGTCCCGTTTATTTCTATTAGTCTAAGTAATATTACAACTTTTTTAGTATGTTTCATACAGTTCTCAAGTCTGACGTTAGCCGGGGTGCGGATGACAACGAGGCTACGTGTGAACGTGTTCAAAGCGATGTTGCTGCAGGAGATGGCTTGGTTTGACGATGAGAGACATTCCGTCGGCAGCCTCTCTGCTAGACTGTCGGGCGACACCTCCACTATACAAGGGGTGAGTGGTTACGTTTCATGATTTTTGTAGACCAATTTAAAGATAATTTACTTACTGGAACATTGACAAAATGTTTAATGTGTAACTGAACTGTAAACTGGATAAACATTATTTTGAAGCAAGTCTCATAATATTGGAGCCAAACTGTATAACATAGCTAATAATAATTTTAAAAAACCGCCAGTCAAAAGACAAATGCTAAGACTGGTAGCTGACCAAAACATTTGATTCTTTAAATGAATTTTTCAGTGGAAATTGAGAGGGTTGGATACTAATTATTTGGTTTTGTATTTAGCGAATTTCCCATATAGGAATTAAGCTATTACATAGGTCTCTTGGTAAGACCTCAACCTTTACTTTTTCATTTTGATTTTTCCAGTGACTAAAAACATCATCTGTTCAAATTCATATATGTATGTGTGTGTCCGTTAGCATAATAAGTTGAGTCAAAACTGCCCGATTTTGATGAAATTAGTTATAAACATGTAAACTTACATTTATTTGAACAAGTTCGCGAACTAGCATGATCGGGCTTAGGAAACATGGTTTTATGGGGTGGAAATTGATTTTTCACATTTCAACCCTCAAAAAATAACATTTTGCAATTTCTTTCCAAAGTTCCTAGTAAATCTTTAAAATAAAAATAAAATAGTACACTCAAGCATTGTTGTTCGCCTAATAGCCACAGATAAAACCTAAAAAAACTCTAAACTTTAAACAAAATCTGACAATTTTATGGGATCATTAACAAAAATGTAACCAGGTAAATGTAAATTCGTTTAGTCTGCAGATTTGCCATAGCGGGGGTATTTAATACTATTATTTATAGTTTTAAGTATTATATTACCGTTTGACAAATGTTCTGTCATTTTATGATGTAATTACATTTTGTCTTCACTTTGACAGGCCACTGGTAGCAAGCTGGGAACACTACTGCAGGGCGTCAGCACACTAGGTGTTGGTACGTTGCTGTCTCTCTACTACTCGTGGAAGATGACCGTTGTTTGTCTCATCTGTATTCCGTTCATCCTATTCTCCATCCTCCTCGAGAGCAGGGTCATGCATTCTGAGGACTCCATTGAAAAGAAAGCTTTAGGAGATGCTACTAAGGTAATGTTCTTTACCTTACAAAAGCATAGTAGCAGTGACAACCCTGATGTTATATCATGTTTTAATACAACATTTTTAAATAACTCACACATGTCAACTGTGTACAAAAATAGTTACAATATTATTTAGTTCTGAAAATATAAGAATTCTCTTTAAAAAGCTTTCTGATTTCAACCATGGTAAATAACACCAAAGGAGAAATTAACTCCTTTGCGTGGAAAAAGTCTACTTTTGAAAATTTTTTTAAATTAAGAGATGGGAAATGATTATGGAATGGTTTGAAAGTTGCGCTGGAGGACTGAGTGATTGGTTGGTGACATTGCATTAACTGGACAAACGGTAGACCTCTCCCCCTCCCACCAACCCCAATACGCACACACACATGCAAGCACACGCAACTATCAGTCTTTGCTCCAGATAACAATAAATAAATTAATTAATTCTGGTATGAGTAAAATACCAGTCCACTATTCCAGATAACAAGGAACCTACCATTATCCACGTGTCATTGCTCTAGATAGCAGTAGAGGCTATTTCATCAGTACGCACCGTGCAGAGCCTGGGACAGGAGAACGCAGTGTTGGAACGCTACACTCGTCGTCTGCTTGAAGCCGAGGAGTCACTACGTAGAAAGACAAGATTCAGAGGTGTTGTCTTCGGACTCGGTCAAACATCTGCCTGCATCGCCTACGGTTTCAGTCTCGGTTACGGAGGGTACCTCATAGCCAGGGAAGGAGCGTCTTATAGAAACATCAACATGTAAGTATTTGTTTGCCCTGCATAGAACATTGTCTTGACTTGTGACAGTTTAGCTGGGTTTTCCTAGGCGTGGAAGCGTATTGTGGTCTGTCTTTTCTCGTCTTGTCTTAATTAATTTGATGGTATTGTTTTCCTAGAAGGGGAGCGGACCGCTACTGGATGAGTAGAAATTGCTTCTCCGTGTATGCTTTCCTAGTCCGCACTCTATGTTCCGCGCTCTGCATCTAGGAAAACCCGGCTACATATTGATGGTTTTGAGTTGATAGCTAACCAGTGTGTTGACCACAATTTCTTTGTCAGAGCTACTTTTAAATAACAATACTCCCTTAGATTTTACTCCTCTAATTCCTCCAACAATTATTTTTCTTACTTATCTATTCCTGTGTTTTTGAAATTCATTATTGTGAATAATAGAAAAAACTCCATATTGTACCTTCATATTAAAATATCTATTACCGTTTACTTAAGGGGTAGTTTTACCAGGCCAAAGTCAGTCCCATGCTACCTACATCCATCAACCAGAGTGAAAAAATGAAAATTACTAGCAATAGGTAGTGGCACTTCTTATACTCTAAAATTTTCAAGACTTAAATTTCCTAAGTAAAATTTAGTACAAAAATATTGTCTTAATGGACGTTGTCTCAAAAAATTTTATAAACTTTATGTTTATAGAGTTGCAGAAGCTCTTCTGTATGGAGCCTGGATGTTAGCTCAGGCAGTTTCATTCGCCCCAAGCTTAAATCTGGCAAAGATAGCAGCTGGTCGACTGTTTAAGATCCTAGATCGCAATCCGCTTATCTTCTCTGGGTCAAACATGGCTTCTTTATCTTGGGTGAGATTATTATAAATTCAGAATTTATATTTATATAACTGTAAATTGAATTTTAAAAGGATTCAAATATTTATCAATATTGTGTGGTTTTTGCTGTAAAATATGATTTGCAATAGCAGTCAAATTTTTTTGTCAATTTTAATAGTGTCAATACATCATTTTATAATTAAAATCATTTATGGTTGAAATCTTCTCATACAAATATTCAAATATGCAAACACTTATTGGTACTGGTTTAGAACAAATTAAATGCTTCCAATTGTAGCGGTGCTTGATTCTGTTAGGGGCACATCCCTTTATTTAATACTATAAATTAAAATGTAATATTTATTACAGAAAGCCAAAGGAGACATAGAGTATAGAGACGTCCACTTCTCATATCCGAGCCGGCCTGATCACTGGATTCTGCAAGGTCTTCAGCTGAGCATTGCTAGAGGACAGAAAGTGGCTCTAGTAGGTCCAAGTGGCTGCGGAAAGTCTACTTGTGTCCAACTGTTGCAGAGATTCTACGACCCAGTGTCAGGTTCATTGGTAAATACTAAATAATTAATGTCAATCGACCTAAAATAGGATAACCACTCAACCATGAAAACCTTGCATTAAGCCGTCAATTTTGTGAACATTGAAGAAAACCTGCACCCACTAAGTGCACTATGTGCTGTCATATTATCTCTTTTATCTAACACAGATGTTGCATGATAATGCAGATAATGCTATTACAACATTGTCAACTCACAAAAAAGTACCGTACTTTGTAACTTAGTATTCTTGGTCTCAAGAACAATTAGTTAAATTTGTTGGTTTACCTTGGTTGCCAGGTTCTGGAAGTATGAAGCCTGATGTACATTTTGTAACAAATTGATTGTGTAAATAATCCTTACGATTGTTGAAAATGATGCATTATTACACAGTCCCTGATCTGAGACCACTCCTTCATTAAAAAGTCACTGTGGATATTTTTACAGAAAATAGACAGCGCAGACTCCGTTGATATTCCTACCAGACAGCTGAGGGCTGGATTAGGTATTGTGTCCCAGGAGCCTGTTTTGTTCGACCGCACGATCGCAGAGAACATTGCATACGGTGACAACACTAGGGCCGTCAGCATGGCAGAGGTGGTGGAGGCGGCCAAACAAGCAAACGTCCACTCTTTCATATCTTCCCTTCCTGCAGTGAGTCTTATTTTTGTGAACAATGTTCAAAGTAACTAATTAAATAGTTTTTATTTTATTATTTAGACTTAGAGATTTATATGCTCTAGGTACACGCTGGTAAAACTTTAAAGGTTAAAATAAAAATTAATGACTTTACTATAAAAATAGAATAAATGTCTTTTTGTACCTCTGATTGACAATTGAGCTAAAAACCACGATTACTAGAAAAATTAAAAAACAGTTGATGTGATTTTTAGCCAGGGTAGTTGACCACTTCATATCATGATATAATCAAACACATCTTAATTTAATATAAAGATGAATCATCATAAATCATCATCATATAAAGATGAATCAGCTTGGCTTTTTGTCTCATCATGATTAAACTGGCAACAATTGCCACATTTAGGAGGATAGTAAAATAGTATTATACTTGCAGGATTAACACAGGATAGGCCTATGTGTTAAGACCATATTTTTATTGAAATCCACTATAGTCATTTCTGTCTGAGTACCAAAATCATGATCATCCAATTTAACATTGTATTTAGATAAGGCCCGTTCACACGGGGCGAGTTTACAAGCTACACGCCAGCGTGTAAGAAGCCGGCGAGTTGGCGAGTGTGCTTGTATTCGTTCACACGGAGCTTGTCCACTCGCCAACTCGCAGACGTGTAGAAAGACGCCGGCGAGTCGGCGAGTGCGCTTGTAGTCGTTCACACGACGCTTTTTCCACTCGCTCAGTAGCTGGCTTGAACCAAATCCTCCAACATCTTTGAGTAACAAGCGCACAAGCACAAGCAACTGTGTTCACACTGGGCTACTTTACACGCCTACTCGCTCAAAAGCTGGCGAGTTGGCGTGTAAAGTAGCGGCAGCGTCAACTTTTTCCAGAGCTTTTTTACAAGCAGCTTTTGAGCGAGTACGTCGTTCACACTGAGCTATTTTACTAGCTGCGTGTAAAAAAGCCGGCGTGTACCTTGTAAACTCGCCCCGTGTGAACGGGGCTATAGATCGTAAGGGAGGAACGAAGCTACACGCCGGCTTTTTTACACGCAGCTTTTGAGCGAGTACGTCGTTCACACGGAGCTATTTTACTAGCTGCGTGTAAAAAAGCCGGCGTGTAGCTTGTAAACTCGCCCCGTGTGAACGGGCCAATAGCTAGTGGACGACTTATTGTTTATGATTAGATAGTTTTATTTGGTTAAACAAGGTTTTAAATTACTGAAATAACAAGAAACAAAATTGTAAACAAAACATGACATCTACAGAAAACCGGACAGAACTAACAATAAAATTGGCTTCAGCTGTTCCATAAGGATGGGAAATCTACTAAGGGGACTTTTATCTATGGTTTTATCTATGATCATAGCAGTATAAGATTATACGTAATAAGATTATGAACATTAGTCATACTTGAGGTTATGCTTGAAGATATCATATGTTATGATATTATACATTATGGGACTTTAGTTATGAAATACTATGTATTATAATTTATGGGCTTATGGCAAGTGATTATACGTTATGAGATTATATGTAATTGAATTATAAGCTCATTACGATTGTACTGTTGGAGAAGCTACATGTTAAATGAATCAAACCAGCTTCGAGCAGGCAAAAAGATGAAAGCCAGCTGACTTCCAGCTGACTGAGCTGAGTCAGTTGTGTCCAACTGTCCAAGTCCAACCGGTCCAACCCAAACTCAACTCAACATGGGACTTCCTTGCTTCCTATGAACGAACATTTCACTTTGACTGTTTGACTTTGGCCTTCTTGTGTTTGTTTATGATTTATCATTGTTTAGCTTTCCCTGGTTTACCTTTACCTTGTAGTTTTCACTATGTCGAACCTTCGTTTTACTTTGTACCTTTGATGTCCTTCCCTAGTCTGATAAGGCTAGTCTGTTGATAAGATGTAAGTTGATTCGTTAGACCTAGGCTCTTCCTAGCAAATAGTAGAATTACTTTACATTCAGTGTATTGCAGAATTTTGGCAGTCCAGGACTGGGTAGAACTATGTATGTTGTTGATGAAATATTAGTGTAAATGACAGTTTCCAGATGTAGAGATGTGATAGTAAGGATATTGGGTGAATTGTGGCAGACCTAGGCTAGCCCTTGTAATGTTTCTGTGAATTCTAACTTATTCCAATCTAGGCCCAAGTACAGTATTGTTCTGATAGTCTTCTCTCAAGTAGCCCTATATGGTTGAAAATGTTTAATGTAGGGCAGATGTTCCATGCTGCAATTAGGCCTACGGTACCTACTAGGTTAAAAAACCCTCTGCCGGTCGCACCTAATCTAAGCTAATTAAGTTAGATAGCCTACCTCAAAATGAAAAGAATTCTGCCATTTTCGTGTTTCCTCTTTAGGCCTATGTTTATGGTCGGTACCCAAACTTCTCAAAGAAGGCTACTAAGGTAAAGGATTTTACGACCATTTTAAACACCATAAGTTAAACCCATTTCCGCACTTTACCCTCATTCATTGCATTTGGGACATCACTTGGTCAGTTGGCGATGAATGTCAGCATCAGACATGTTTCTTGTAAGTTAGCTAATCAAAAAACTTATTAGCCTACTGACTTTACCTCGGAGGCAGCGGGAGATTTGATTCTTAAACAAATTTTAAGTCACAGCAAAGCGTAAACTTACATCACAGCTAAAAAGCTGTAATTTGCTTCATTTAATTTACAAAAATGATTTCAGTAAATAGTGATGAGCCTCGCTGTGGCATACAAGTGAACTATGGATTTATATGCGAAACCGACCCTTAGGCCTACTTAAAAAACTGCTAGGCTATATCTCAGTTTTGAAGTGAAGATAGAATAATAAGGGTGCCATTATTGTGTCCAAGTCTGTGGTGTTTTGGATTCTGTGGATGATGAATAGGCTAATGCAGTTGATAGTTTTTTGCTCATGTAACTTAGCCCAACTAGAACTTACAGTCAATATGAATTTGCCATCTAAGATATTCATTTGATGTAGGCTTATTGGCCTAAGTTACGTAAACTTACTAGGATTTTTATTGGGTTGACTTAGGTAATAACCAGTCATTATTGATATTTTTCCATCATCAAGTCTTAGGCATATTCCTTAAATTTATATGTAGGCCTATTAATGCCTATGATAACTTTAAAATTGTCGTGATTTTGTTGATTGTTGTTAGCTTGATCCAGTGTTGATTTGATAAAGTTAAAGTACTTTTCTTGACTGTCCCTGGAATATTAATATTGGTTGTAGGCTATCGTCCGTGAAAAGTAAGTTAGGCTCTTGTCTAGTTTGGTTAGGAGGTTGTTTGTGTCTATATAACCTAATTAGGTCAAGATAGCCCAATATGAATCTTTTGGTGGATTCCTCTTGATGGTCTGATTGATGACCCGGTGGCAACATTGTTAGTATTTTGACGTTTCCCTTTATTTTCTATATTTGGGTCTGACTTTTACCATGTTACCAATTCAGTGCAGGGCTTTGTATAACTGATATATTTTGATCTAGGAATGTCCCCAGTCAAGGATTCTGAATGTTTTTTTGAAGGCCAAGGAAATGGCAGTGGCATTTTATCTTTTTCCCCAAATATTGGTTATGCGGGTGTGCCACCAAATACTCTGAACTCGCAGCAGAGTTCTACAAGCAATTTTGTGGAGGGATATTCCCCCTCCAGAGAAACTTGTCGCAAATGGTTATCAATTTTGTAAGAAGTGGTTCACGATTTACGGTTTATCCTAAGTCCGAGCGCAAAATCCAAATCGGGTTTACGAGATTATCCGTACTCGGGCTCAGACAGATAAACTCCACCCAATTATGACAGGGATAAACCCGAGTGCAAAAAGTCGGCATCATGAGTCCGATTGGAGAAAACCCCGGGCCAAAAAAATAAACTTGTCGGGTTCACGAGTCATGGTCAAGCACAAAATAGGATAATCTCTGGCTAAAATAAGAATCGTTTTTGACTTCAACTTAAACCTGCTAGGGGGGGGGGGGCTGGTTAAGTTGACATTATGTCATTATCTCATTTGCTCCTTATTGTTTTTTTGTCAGCAAACAGAGTGTTATATTCAAATTCGCCATTAAATTCCAAACAATTTCATTAGCCCCCTCAACATAATATTTATTTTTCATTTTTTTTACGAGGTACTGGTAATTGAAAACATGCAAAACTTCGTAAAATCTTATGAATAATTACAAAGTACCTACAGTAAAGTTTCACATATCTCAAGTTGGTACAGTATAACATTAAAATAATTAAATTACTTTCACTTGTTAGACTGAGTTACATAAATATATGATAAAACAGATACATACATCAAAGAACAAAATAATACTCATTTCACAGACATGAAATTAATTGTTGTTTCGAGGGAAAGAGAGCAATGGCAGGATGCCTTCTTATTAGTACGTAGGAAGCATTCCTCGCGAACGATCAGTGATTCAGTTTGCTGTGCTGTTCAGTGTTGTGGAGTATGCGCTAAAGGACTTCTATACATGCAACCTTCCTCAAGGACTCAGTCTTCTGATCATGTAGTTTTTTCCCATTATGGGCCGTTGTAGCACAACATTTTTCACTAAAGTTAACTCGTCTTTTGTAAAGTTCACTTGATTTTTCTTTTCTTTGCTTGATTCAGACATCTTTGAAAACTAAATAAATAATAAAATGGAAATAAAGTCTAATTAAATGTTATAAATCCATAAAATTACACTGCACAATCACAACTAACAAACGAAGTACGGTTCAATACAAAAACTAACGGCTTATTCAAAACGGGGAATGAGGTGACAGAGGCGAAACAATGTTGTCAACAGGGTTGTAAACCCCCACCCCGCAACGTCATCCTATTGTTTTGGGGCTCGTCGAATGCTAGCAGCAGCCCAGCAGGTAGCCCATGTGGCTGTTGCCAACCTTCCAATGAAAATTCCCTGTAAATACCTGCTGTTAAGCGACGGCCAGCATTGATCTCGGCTAACCTTCTATGTCGTGAACCAATTTTTTGGCCGTCGGTTAAAGTTGGCCAAGATCA